GGGGAAAACGTTTTATGTATATTTAAACACACACATGCACACATATATCCACATGTCTTAAACTGTCCGGCTTCCTGATGCTTCCTCCAGTTTACGCATCTGAATGTTTTGTTCCGTCATCTATTGCACTTTTGTTTATTATTAGTTGCAACCTTTTAAATAAGCAGACCAAAACATTAAATATAACCTGATTATATTGTGAAGGTGGGCTTGAGGAAGCTAGGATATCGTCAGATAATAGGGGTGTAGCGGAGCACAAAAAAAAAAAAAAAAAAAAATAATTTTTTTTTAAGAGTTTTACTGAACAAACTATCTTTTTAAAAAGTCTTTCTTTATTGCTGCAACTGGCCACAACAAATACAGCAGTTTATGGTGCTGTTATAATTAGGGGAATACATTTGAAGTGCTTACAGTTTTGGATGCAGAATGTTTTGTTATTGCTCTCCCTTTCTAATCCTCTCTTTTTTACGCACTTACATGCGCCGTGTCCTGACATTTTATCCTACCCTTCAGATTTTCCACCCAGGGTTTATTGCGCATGCGCACATTTTTCTCACGCTGAACAATGATAAATACTGTATATGCATTACTGTAAGGGATAGGTTTAGGGTTGGGGTAGGTGTACTGTAGACATTTATAAAACACAATCTAATAGGTAGAAAAATTAATTTATTGTTGGTTTCCGGCCATAGCTGTATCCTTTCTCAGCCACAACCCTGAACAACACATAATTACTGTATTTGTATTACTGTAAGGGTAGGTTTAGGGTTGGGCTTGGTGTAGACATTAATAAACCATAATTTGACAGGTAGCATTTTTCGTTGTCCAATTGTACTTAACTATTTTAATGGGAGGTAGCAAAATCTGACAGGTTAGCACAAATCGACAGAACACCGGCACTCATTCATTGAGGTCTGCAAAGTTAAAGTTAAAAGACTCGCTTGTGGTCAGGATGAAGCTTTATTTAAAATGGAAATAGTTGCCTGAATTTGTAACATTTACATGCAAGTATACAACTGTAAGATATACATTGTGTGTGAAAATGCATCTCAAACACATTAAATGAGCATGTTGTCATCATTTGCTCACCCTATAAGTTTCTTTCTTCTGGTGAATGCAAAAGAAGAATAACCAAACAGTTGCTGACTTCATATTTTTTTTCCATGCTATGTTAGGTCAATGGCTACCAGCAGCTGTTGGTACAGAATTTTTATTTTTTGGGGGTGAACTATCCCTTTAAACGACACGCAAATCTTACAGTAGGTTTATGGCTTAGTTTCAAATGCTTAATATAAAGCATGTCTACATGTTTAACTTGGATTGTGCAATTTTCCAGCAGCTTACGCCGTGTCCTTTGTTATTTTTCAGAAGTGTTGCAACATCAAAGTATATCGACGTAAACAATACTGTCCTGAGTTTTAAAATATGTTCCACACACAGAGAAGTTCCATACTTGCAGTGATTAAAACAACACCGTTTTCATTTGGTACACATGTGATGAACCAAAACAGACCCATATCAACAATTTTTGTTACGGATACGTGTACCGTTACACCCCTATCGGATAATATCAACATATTTTTCTGAATAACCTGAATTTTTAGGCCTGTCAATTAAAAATGTTAATCAAATTAATTACGTTATATGCTGAATAATTAAATGAATTAATTAATCTGTTGGTGGAGAAATGCCTTATGGAATTTATGTATGGGTCAGAGGACATGATTAATTTTTCATTTTTTATCCCTTTTTTTATTTATAATTTTGCACATAAATTAACAGCCTTTATTTATTTGCAGCCTTTTGACTTTATTTGAAAGGACAGCGGAGGGAGAATGTGATCTGAAACGAGGCGCATTCGATTTTTTTGACTATTTTGAATAAAAGCCTGATATTTTTTATGTGCAAAACCATTTCTACATCCTTAAAGTCCCCATTAAATCAAAATTAAAGTTTTTTGGGTGTTAGTATCAATATGTTAGTCTTAAGGTTATCTATAAGGCAGTGTGCTCCAAAACAGTGACAAAATTCGCATTTAGAAGATATAAACATTCAAAGCTTGCAGTTCGTCACTTCCGCCAAAACGGCTCAACGAGTTTTTTTGACGTCACATCGTACTTCAGCTTCTCATCAAACTTTCTGTCCAATCAGATGCTCTCTAGAAGCAGAAGCCCCGCCCCCTACACTATAAAATAGACGCTGAAGCCGCGGCTGAAATCGGTCACTTGTCCACAGAATTAGTATGTTCTGTACAGTGAATGGCACGTAGTGCACTATATAGGGGACAGGGAACGATTCAAACAGTGTAAACATGCTTTCCATTGAGGAAAAAAATAAGTCTGGTTTGTGTCACGCTAACTAATAAACCATAATTTGACAGGTAGCATTTTTCGTTGTCCAATTGTACTTAACTATTTTAATGGGAGGTAGCAAAATCTGACAGGTTAGCACAAATCGACAGAACACCGGCACTCATTCATTGAGGTCTGCAAAGTTAAAGTTAAAAGACTCGCTTGTGGTCAGGATGAAGCTTTATTTAAAATGGAAATAGTTGCCTGAATTTGTAACATTTACATGCAAGTATACAACTGTAAGATATACATTGTGTGTGAAAATGCATCTCAAACACATTAAATGAGCATGTTGTCATCATTTGCTCACCCTATAAGTTTCTTTCTTCTGGTGAATGCAAAAGAAGAATAACCAAACAGTTGCTGACTTCATATTTTTTTTCCATGCTATGTTAGGTCAATGGCTACCAGCAGCTGTTGGTACAGAATTTTTATTTTTTGGGGGTGAACTATCCCTTTAAACGACACGCAAATCTTACAGTAGGTTTATGGCTTAGTTTCAAATGCTTAATATAAAGCATGTCTACATGTTTAACTTGGATTGTGCAATTTTCCAGCAGCTTACGCCGTGTCCTTTGTTATTTTTCAGAAGTGTTGCAACATCAAAGTATATCGACGTAAACAATACTGTCCTGAGTTTTAAAATATGTTCCACACACAGAGAAGTTCCATACTTGCAGTGATTAAAACAACACCGTTTTCATTTGGTACACATGTGATGAACCAAAACAGACCCATATCAACAATTTTTGTTACGGATACGTGTACCGTTACACCCCTATCGGATAATATCAACATATTTTTCTGAATAACCTGAATTTTTAGGCCTGTCAATTAAAAATGTTAATCAAATTAATTACGTTATATGCTGAATAATTAAATGAATTAATTAATCTGTTGGTGGAGAAATGCCTTATGGAATTTATGTATGGGTCAGAGGACATGATTAATTTTTCATTTTTTATCCCTTTTTTTATTTATAATTTTGCACATAAATTAACAGCCTTTATTTATTTGCAGCCTTTTGACTTTATTTGAAAGGACAGCGGAGGGAGAATGTGATCTGAAACGAGGCGCATTCGATTTTTTTGACTATTTTGAATAAAAGCCTGATATTTTTTATGTGCAAAACCATTTCTACATCCTTAAAGTCCCCATTAAATCAAAATTAAAGTTTTTTGGGTGTTAGTATCAATATGTTAGTCTTAAGGTTATCTATAAGGCAGTGTGCTCCAAAACAGTGACAAAATTCGCATTTAGAAGATATAAACATTCAAAGCTTGCAGTTCGTCACTTCCGCCAAAACGGCTCAACGAGTTTTTTTGACGTCACATCGTACTTCAGCTTCTCATCAAACTTTCTGTCCAATCAGATGCTCTCTAGAAGCAGAAGCCCCGCCCCCTACACTATAAAATAGACGCTGAAGCCGCGGCTGAAATCGGTCACTTGTCCACAGAATTAGTATGTTCTGTACAGTGAATGGCACGTAGTGCACTATATAGGGGACAGGGAACGATTCAAACAGTGTAAACATGCTTTCCATTGAGGAAAAAAATAAGTCTGGTTTGTGTCACGCTAACCACCGCACCGCACACACACTCTGCTCCGGTCCAGAGACACGATAGCACGGAGCGGATCACATGCACGAGTCAGCACAGACCACAAAATATATCGGAGCTATTTGAATTCTACACAGAATGCTATATTTTATAGCAATATGGATGAGATTGTGGCTGGTCAAATGCGGCTTTACGGAGTTCAACGGCTCTGAACGGCTCTAGTCCAAGCTGTGATATAAACGAACGCTATTGGCTATTTTAAAAAGGGGCGGGGCTGCTTGATATGTCCCGCCCTGTCTTCCTGTTTCAGTTAAAATTACGTCAACACAGAGTAATGCTGCGTGTTTCTAAGCATTTCAGGGGACCTTTAATCTTGAGCATTACACGCTGTATCTTTGAAAGCTCAATTTGATGATTCCAAAAGGTTGTCGAAAGCACTTACAGTACTAATCTTGACAGTAATAAACATGTAGTAGAAACGCTCCTTTGAGTGCATTCTAGATGTTTGCACCACTTTGTGTATGGCACTCATTTTGATAAAATGCCATGATATGCACCCTAACACGATATCCCTCATTTTCAGCGGCAGCAGAAATGAGCCTCGGGATATGAATGCTGGCTTGTTTTCGGAGTGTAAATTTACAAAGGGCAACTAATCCTGATTGGGTTATTGGAGGCTTTTGCATTGCTCACAAATAACTGTGGAACCTGAGATGCACCTAATAAATGAGGTGAAGCTTTCGAGTACGAACCGCTGCTCTTTGTAGAATGAGGTCAAAGAAATACATTCTACATCAGGGAAATGTGGCTGCCCGAATATATTGTTAGTTGTGTGAAAAGCTAAGAAAGTACCGTGGCAATTGACATACAGCCATGTACCCGTTCCTAATATTAAAATAAGTAATAATGGCCTTTTCAACTTTTCCAAATGAAAAACTGTTGCGGCAAATTACACTGAATGTAGCTCGATTGTTCTCATATTTCTTGTACTTTTCTTTTGGCCCCTTATAATTGCTTCATTGTTCCCATGTAATGTTCATGAGACATATAATGATTATTAATAATGTAATCCAAGTTTAATGGCATTAACATTTCAGCTGACACACCCCCAGACGCCTGAAAGTTTTAAGTGTACTAACATATGCAATTACTAGTACTGTAGGATTATTTCTCATAATACTAAAAGACCTGGGAGTTGCATATTATAGGCAAGTCATTTGACTGTGCTTATTGTGAATATTACATTAATTAATTCAAATGATCAGTTCAACTATTAAAATGCATTTGCTATAGTTTAATAGTACATTGTTTTTGTGGTTAATAATTATCCTGCAACTCCATAAATTATCGTCTTCATTAAAGGACTTGGTGGTCATGGTGTTATAAAACATTAATTAAAGCTTTATAATTAATGATTCCATGTTGTTAAGGACATAAATGATATCCCCTTTGGCCCTCGTTGAGGACAAGAGGGCGTGCCCTAAGGAAGGATATCCTGGGTCAAAGGTCATGAGCGCAGGATTTCCTCTTCCCTCTCTTCGCTCTGAGCTCTGAGCTGTGAGTACTGCTGACTATGTAAAGTCACACACTAGGTCTATTCATACACGCGCACACCTAGGATCTACTGTATTTCTAATAAAAATATGAAAGCATATATCCTCTCCCTGCCACCCACTGTGCTTATAAATGGCTTTGCCTTCAAATATTCCTTATACGTTATTTCAATTATTTTCTGGTATTCTGTAAACCAGGAAAACAAGACATGTATGAATAATTAGATGCAATTATGCTGCCACAAAAAAATACAATAAAATGTAATAAATAAAATAATCTCTCTTTCTCTCTCAGTCTATATGCTATGCATTATATTTATTACAATTAATGGCAAAATAAATGTTTGGAAATGTAAACTGATATTTCCTACTGACACACTACAGCAAAATATATAAATAACTGACTAAAAACAAAGTTTTTGTTGATAAATACTAATGGCCTGAGACTTGTGCACAGTTGTGTGTGTTACAATTATTGTTTGTAAAACAGTAGTTAGTGACATTTTTGATTAAAAATAACATTAAATAAAACATTAATATTGTAAAGTATTACAGTAAAGAACTTTATTTTGAAATGTAATTCAATCCTGAAGGCAAAGCTGAGTTTATCAGAAATAGGGATGCTCATATTGGCTGTTTAACCATTAACCGAAAATAAGAATTTTGACGATTAATACTATCAGTTAAACGGTTGTGCACTGAGGTAGGTCTGCTATTTATTTTTATGTCTGATGAAAAAAACAAGACTATGCTGGTTCTTCAAAGCACACAGAAGGATTCAGTGTGTGTTTTTGTTAATCTGTTGATTATTTCAATGAAAAATATTTAGTGTAGCCCTATTCTTTTTATTATTATTATTATTAGTAGTAGTAGTAGTAGTAGTAGTAGTATATTTTGTATGGGTCAAGCCACTCATCAATGATTTCTGAAGATCATGTGACACTGAAGACTGGAGTAATGATGCTGAAAATACAGCTGCGCATCACAGGGGAAAAAATTACATTTTAAAATATCTTCAAAAAGAAAACAGTTCTTTTAAATTTGAATGATATTTCACAATATTGCTGTTCTTACTGTATTTTTGATCAAATGCAGCCTTGGCCTTTAAAGCTAAGAAATTTTAGTTTAGTTTAGTTTAGTTTAGTTTAGTTTAGTTTAGTTTAGTTTCGGCCTTGGTCACTAAAATATTCAGTAGTAAATAGCACTACAGTGTCTTACACTTTCAGTTTTAAAAATGTTCATCTCTTATCTCACCTAGGGCACAACCATAGACTGTAAAAAAAGATGGACGACGCGTCTCCACTTCCTTCCACTATATAAAAGTGAAGCCAAAGCATCTCAGTATGGCCGCTGCCATCTTGAGTAAATTACGCCATTTGGAGCCCGAGTCTGCGCAGTAGCGATTTGTTTGGAGCCAGAGTCTGCGCAGTAGTGTCGTGAGGTGGAGCCGCGGTATCAAACTCCCGCCCAAACTCCCACAGACCCAATCAACTATAACGACACGCCCCATTTTTATATAGCATCAAATTACTAGCTAAAATCAAATTTATCACAAAAACGAACAATTTAACATATATCAGCGTTATAACAACTACCTTAAATGACCAAAACCATCTTTTGGAAAATTGTATTGGAAGCGTAATAAATTTTTTTATTTTGACTCGAGTCTCATTTGTTTACATGGAGAGGGTGGGGTTTATGACCTGTACTGCAGCCAGCCACCAAGAGGCGATCAAAGAGCCCGCAGCTTCACTTTTCAGGACGTGTGAGGCACACCCGGGCACAACGTAAGCTAGGACTGCTTAAATAAAATTAGTGCATTATGCCCCTGTGAGAGATTGTATTCAACCTCAGTAAAATTGACATTCATGCAGCTCACTCAGACAGATGGATTCCAGCACATCCATTTGGCAGCATTTCTCTTTGCTGTAAAACATCGAGGCTGACAAACAGCACTTGGGTGATTTTGCAGAACTGTTTTCCATCAGGTGTGCTCGACGTCCCCAACAGCTGGTTCACCTCTTATATGACCCTACACTGTATCAGAGCTGTCACACGGCAAGTCCTTCATTTCAGCTTGAGCACACACAAACACTCCGCTCTGCCTTCACAGTCAAAGTTATTTTGGAAAGACTTAAAGGTTGTGTTTTGAATTTGTGCAAAAACAGGAGTAAAGAAAACATTGCTCACCCACAGCCTGGCTGATGAAACTGAATGATGCAAAGTATGCCTTTCTGTCAAGTTACCCTAAAGATTTACTCTGATTATTTATTCATTCAGTTCTGTCTGGTAAAAGCTCTGGTTAAAAGAAAGCTTTAGTGCGGGAAAGATGAAATATTCGTGCAACATCAGAGCCAATCAGAGACTGAGAGAAAGAGGTAGATGAGAGCTTATGAATACAAGAAATGAGTTTTAGTAGCTTAGAAGCATAAACACACAAATGTTTTTTTTTAAGTGGGACTCATCAGATTATTTTGCATAAGATTTGTACCAGGCATAGATGCAAACCCTGCGTGGCTAATGCAATGTTTGTTCTTGGATTGAAATCATCAGCTTTCACCACTGCGCCTTGAAAATTTACATTTTTATGTAATGCATTTACATTTACTTCCATTTATGCTTCTGACAGGTGCTCACTTATGAAATATCATGAAAAAAAAATCTGTTTTGATGCCTTTATACCTGAGGATGCACAAAAGTAGATTTTTTTTTCTTCTCTATCTTTGAATCCCAGTGTTCTTCAAAATGTCATATTTTGTTTGTTTTATTTTATTTATTTATGGAAAAAAGTAATTCATGTTAAGTACTTTTTCTTTTTTCACATTTCATGTTTTCATTCTCAAATGAGGATTTATTTAATGTTTTTTTTCATTGGTTGACAAACTCATTTCACATTGAACTTCAAAAAACTGACTTATGTTGCTAGCTAGCGACTGCTAATTGCTTCAGTTATATTATATCAAAATATGTTCATGCCTTTTGATTTAAATAAGCTGAAATGTACCAGTGTGCTTCATCTTTTTAAGTGAGACTTTTCTCACTTCCTGTTTTGATATATGCTTTAAGCTGATTTGGTTATTGCTTTTCAAAGAGAAAATGTTTTCTCTCTCCCTCTCTTGCGGTGTTGAAATGTTTCACTTGAATTCTTAACATTAATTAAGAAATGTTCATTAAAAAACTGGCCTTCAATCTGTAAGGAATGTTTATTAATTTAATATAAGAGATTATTTATTAATTAAAAAATTATTTCATCAGTTGCACCGTTTTACACAGATGGTTAATCTTTCTGAAAGATCAAGCATGCTGCTGCTTGACGCCTATTCCATTCTCCAAATGTGGAGAAATATTGTGTTTTTTTAACTAAGCTGCCTGCCTAAAGAGCATTTTAAGACATCTTAAAGTATGCGAGTTCTCAGTTCTCATACTTCAGTTTCAGTAAAAAATACTCTCAATTTTAAGGCCACATTGCATGTGTTCTCAGTGGGGAAAAACTTTATCAAAGATGGCAGATGGGTTCCAAAAGCAAGATAAATTGTTTTTAAACAGATTTTATTTAGTATGGAGTAATTCCATCTTATTAAAGATTGATCTTTGTTGTGTTATACAGTTTTTGTGCTTATTAGAGTGTTGCAACATTTGCGAAATGTCAAACGTGTTTTTTTTTCCTGTGTTTACAACAGTAATCACTGTACAAAATCAGGTACAATAAATTTTGTCAGTGGTATCTGTGTAGCTTGCACTGTAGATGATCATTTTTTCAGGTCAAGTATAGCTTGACCATAGTTTAACTACTTTTATTTTTGTTTTGCTAGCATCTTGACAAGTTACGGTTTCTAAGTAGCTTCCTCAACACTGATCTTGTGTGCTACATGTGCTGTTCGTTTTGACCATTAATAGAGTCGCTGCTTATGTAGAGCATGACTTGAGTTTGCATTTTGATTAGGATTCAGTCTTCGAAGTGTTAGCTCAGATTTTGGAACACAATCTGTATCATTTCCATCACGCGGCCAGGAATTGTTGACAGCAGGGTCCGTAATTAACACTGGCCAAGTGCCAAATTTGACTTTGAATTGGCTTTGACAAATAACAGTGGCCTGAAACTTTACAAGGAACTGCAATTTATTAATAGTTTAATCGAATTTAATCTGTCATGAGAATGGTAGTCTGAGTCTGGTTAATGTAAGCAAAGTGAGCTATTAAAATTTAAGCTATCAAATTTAATGATTCGATTTCAATTCACAGCAATTCGATTCCCTTAGATTCTATGTCAATTAATTTGGATGCACTGTACCTGAATGTCTGTCTTTTTTTTTCCAAGGAAAAATACATTTCCCTCAACAAATGCGATTGAAACACAGATTGAGTGATTACACGAGGCATGATACATTTCTGTAAATTGTACTATTTCTTTCAACATACCTTCAGATGTTCGTTTTGTGCTGTAAATAGTAGTAAAGAGGTTCATGTGCCGCTTGAACTGAGGCGCTACTACAGCAATATGTCATGCCACATTAAAGAGTGCCAAAACTGATTTATTGTTTGAAATTCATAATACAATTGACAGAATTTGAAAGCTGAGACTGTTTCATATCAAAAGTTACAAAGTTTATTGTGTTTTATTGAATATTTGGAGGTGTGCTGCAAATAATATTTCTTGAATTTTTCTTTTTGTATGCATCAACTAAAAACAGCATAGATTGATTTGTGGGAGAAAATTTACCGGCCATACATATTTCTACCAAACAAGATTATTAGGGCTGAACTGAAAAAACAAACAGATTTCTCAACCAATATTGATTCTTAAATCCATTCACTCTTCACGGGCAGGTGTGTCAAAGTTAATTTTGGACTCTGGATCAAAGCGAGCGCTCTCTGAGAGTTTTGTATGTTCACCGGCTGTGCTGTCTCTGCAGGTGTGCTCAGATCTGTTCTCCAAAGTACACCTGTGTGCAGTTAGAGTCACCTGTCCACACTCCACCTTTGCAGACTCCATGCATGTGGGACTTCATTTCTGAAGGCTGAATCAGTTTTATTCATGCAAAAACCATTAAAGACAAAGATCTCTCCGAAACAATGATGCATCTCTCTCTCTCGCTCGCTCTTTCATTCTCTTCTCTCCATCTGTCAGACACGTTCAGAGAGACATCCATGAATGGTATAACTCAAGGCCATTTCGAGTATTCCTCAATTATTTATCAAGCATAGAAATGCAACTTGATTGAAGTTCCTTTGAAGTATGGACATCAATTCTCACACTGAAGGCCTGTATAAAATGATCATTCGGCTGCTATACAGAGCGCTCGCCCCTCAGGAGCCATGAGTCCGATTTAAATCTTTTTTCAATTTTTTAGCACTTTCTCTGTTCGTGTTAAATTAGGCCTGTGTAATGCCATTACAGAGGAAAAGAGGCAGATTATTAAGAATGCTACTCCATCAACCCCTTTTAGTTTATTAGTACCTGGTTACGTAAAGTGCATATTAAAATTCTCATAATGAATCCCAAAAGTCATTATACGTGATTTATTGTCGTGCCAAGTAGCAGGCATTTCCGTAGAGCAATTGCAAATATGTATATTATTTAGCAGTGGCTCTGTGTGCCGTTCTCATTGCAGCACACACACAAATGTGAACCAGCAGCATCGGCGTGAAGAAAACCTTTGTCTCTGTTATGGCCAGACAGCATTCTCATTCTACCGCAATGAACTCTTTCCTCTAAGGACACAAACAGAGACGACAAACCCCAGACTCTTCACACACGCACACAAACACACATCGACATCACTGAGCTAGATTAATGACCAGCCTGATGTGATCTCAAAACCCATTACCGAATTTTCAGTGTTATCTATTTATTTTGTTAGCCAGAATGATTTGAGCAAAGCTCAACTTTGTGTCTCAATGAGCCCCAGGAGAGGCGGAATGGGATTTTTCCTCCTGAACTCCCTCAAACTGTGTTGCCCTTTCTCAGCTGATCTGAGGCGAAGCTTACTGCATTGGTGATTTTTGACAGGACAGTATGGGATTTCTTTTTTTACCTTTCTGTTTGACCAGTTCTGTTTGTATGATCACCTGTTCCTGAAATAATTTCAGACATGTGATTCATGGCTTGCTGTTCTCCTCGAAGTCAGTGCTAGTCAGGAAACATGCAAAGTGGTGCCGTAAATAGCAAAGCTTTTAGTTTAACCACATTTTTCAGCAGCATTGCTAGTTTTTCAGTAGCAAATATATTTTAAGCTCCAGAGTAGAGCTGACAAACTATACACCATTTTTTTTTTCATGTTAGATTAACTATAGAACCTTATTTGTGACCCTGGACCACAAAAACAGTCATAAGGGTCAATTTTTTGAAATTGGGATTTATACATCATCTGAAAGCTGAATAAATAAGCTTTCCATTGATGTATGGTTTGTTAGGATAGGACAATATTTGGTCGAGATATAACTATATGAAAATCTGTAATCTGAGGGTGCAAAAAAATTAAAATATTGAGAAAATCACATTTTAAGGTTGTCCAAGTGAAGTTCTTAGCAATGCATATTACTAATCAAAAATTAAGTTTTAATATATTTACGGTAGGAAATTTACAAAATATATTCATGGAACATGATCTTTACTTAATATCCTAATGATTTTTGGCATAAAAGAAAAATGGATAATTTTGAGTCTTACAATGTATTTTTGGCTATTGCTACAAATATACCCCAGCGACTTAAGACTGCTTTTGTGCTCCAGGGTCACATTTAAAAGTGTAACTTTTTTAAAGTCTTATCACTAAAGGCTGGAATACACTAACGACTTGTAAAATCTGAACAGACTTGCTGCCTTTGTAAATGGTTTCAAATAAAAACTGGGCATCATGCACTAAACAACTGAGAAACAGACTTTCAAGTCATTCTGAACACAACAAACTCAGACAAGCATGTGCCTCGTTGCTAGGAAACATGACAAATGAAAACAATGTGTTCTGAAATCAGCTCAAAGAATCAAACATGTTTGATGTCCTCCGACTGGACAGATTCATAGTATGAAGCTAAAAATCTGAGTCTGTGCCCATCATATACTACACAGTTTATTGTGAAATCTGTCAACTCACTCTGCCCGGTATCTGCAGACTGGCTCTGATTTGCTCCAGACTGCAAATTGGGACAAAAATCTGGGAAAAACTTGTGTAGTGCATTCCAACATTTAGGAAATATGCCACATGATCCTGTCTTTTGCACAACTATCCGGGATGAATTATGTGGGTTATGTTATACATCTTTGTAGTATTAGATGTGGAAGTTTTAAAACCTAACTACGAGCAATAGTAATAGTAATGTAAACCATGCATGATAAATCATTTTTCACGCACAAATCTCAGTTTAGATAATTTCCAAGTTTATTTACACTGGGCGTTCGCTTCCCTCAATTCATTGTGAAAGCACAGCAAATGCATTTGAAGCTCATCACACACATACACACACTCGCTCTTGGCCTATTAGAAAGGCATGTCTGTTTCAGTGTTGTATCTGCGCCGTGGAGAAAGAGGAACATTTTGTACTGTGTCATGAATCGAATAACACAGATTCCTCCGGCAAGGCAAACACGCAGCTTCCCATTAAAAAGCAGATGCGTGGCAGGGCAAAGCTGTCATTAATGCATACATGCAAACACACGCAAACGCAGTCAGGTCGAGTCCAGAGGCCGTTCGTTTGTTGCTCCTGGCTGCATTACTGAGGCTCTATAAGGGTCGACTTCTGATTTTTTTCTTTTTTCCTCCCCAAAAATATACAGGCTGTTTACCCACATCGCTTTGACAAGATCTCTGCAATGCACACACAGAGAGTTCTGACACGGAGCCAGGAACACGTAAAATATTTACTTGTGTTGAGGAAGTAAACAAGTGTTCCCTGTTTACTTATCGGGACCAA